ACCCTCAAACGACAGATGCTTACCTCTGCCGGGGTCATCTCGCCAATCACTTCGCATTCATCCTGCAAGGAAACCAGAGAGAAGATGACACTTATCCAGGCCACGCAGGAAGGGAGGGAGAAAGGGCCGGAGCAGATACGAACCGAGAGAAAGGGAACTGTCAGGAGAGCTGAATGGATACAAAAACCCCAGCTGGAAAAAAAGTTACTGGTTTGGATGGTAATGCATAGAAATCCTTCAGCCTGTATAGCTATTCTGGTCTCAGCTACCCAGGCTTTGCAATTACCTATAAGGGAACAAGGATGCTGGGCAAATGGGGGAAGTCGCTAATCTCGCACAGTAAATTTGTGAACTGAGGGTGCCCTCCCGTGTCAAGGGCTGGTATTTACCATTCCCAAAGCCAAGCGGTCCCCAAGTGACTGTGGAAGGATAAATCAGAGCTCTCGCCCCGTAACCAGCTCTGCAGTTCAGCACTAATCTGGTCGCCAAAGGCGACAAGGAATTCCATGTAGGTGAGTACACTTAGTTTGCTTCCTCCTCTTTTACTGGCACAGAAATTAAGCAGGCTGCTTGGAGAGTCCTGTCCTCTTCTCGCAGCGTATAAATGCAACTCTTTCTTTGATTCATCTGCCAATTCTAGCAGGGTAACAAAACACAGGAAAACATGCCACTACCCCCAAAGTGCTGTGTATGTTGTATGGCTCATATATGTTTTCTTTTCAGGCCAGCCCAAGCCTTTAATTTCACCAGTACATTGCACGTGCACCATACTGAGCACTTTTCTCTAAGAGGGAACCCTGGTGTCTACCATCCTCAAAAAAGGTGTGTTTATCAACTCTGGGACACTTCCAGCTATCCTCTAGTGCAGTGGTTCCCAACCGTAGGTTCCCAGATGTTCTTGGACTAAAACTCCCAGAATCCTTCACCACCAGCTGTACTGGCCGGAATTTCTGGGAATTGTAGTCCAAGAACTTTGGGGGACCCAAAGTTGGGAACTCCTGCTCTAGTGACTATGAAGGTCACGGCCAGAGGCTCTACCATAACCTCAGAAACCCTCGCAGAACCACAGAAATGTAAAATTGGAAAGGATCAGAATGCAGAAAAAGTGACTTGGATGTAATATGATTCTCAGGTTTCTGTAGCCTGTATCAACAATGGCCCTGCTGGCCAGATGATTTGGGGAGACAGAGTCCAAACACCCTTTTTTTCCAAGAAGCTACTATGCTATGATTTGAGCCAAAAAATCATTGTAGGATTCTTGAAGCCCAAATTTCAACCTCCCAAAAAAGCTAGGGTGTCCTCTCCCCTATAGCACCTTGTATCCTGAACAACCACAAAAATAGGTATGAGTGTAGAGATACATATAGACGTGTTTATGTACAGAAACACATGAATGTGTGTGTGTGTGTGTTTGTGTATGTATGTATGTATGTATGTATGTATGTATGTATGTATGTATGTATGTATGTATGTATGTATGTATGTATGTATGTATGTATGTATGTATGTATGTAGTGGCCTATCTATCTATCTATCTATCTATCTATCTATCTATCTATCTATCTATCTATCTATCTATCTATCTATCTATCTATCTATCTATCTATCCATCCATCCATCCATCCATCCATCCATCCATCCATCCATCCATCCATCCATCCATCCATCCGAATGAACTGCTGGGACATTTCCAATTTTAAAAAAGGCTTTTAGAAAGGCAAATATTTTGAGGGTGGGTGGGACGCAGCAAAGCTGCAGCCCTCCAAGGTCTTGAGGCGGGGGCCTGAGGGGCTTCTGGAAGCTGCCCACCCTTGATTCAACCCCCAGACAACTTCTCCTCCAAACCCATTGAGTTCTCCATTCAATATCTGCTGGAGAGCTATCAGCGGTTTGGGTCTCTGCCCGTGGGGGCCAGAGGTTGGGTGTTCCATTCCCTCACTGGTGCTTCCTTGACAGAGGACGGACTCCATGATCCGTGGGGTCCCGTCCAGCTCTGCAGTTCTAAGATTATTATTATAAGTACCTCCAACGAAGGAGAGCTTATCATCTCCTGGGGGAACCAATTACGTTCAAACAGAATTTTCTACTCCACGATCCTATTCCTGTCTTTTCGAAGAACAGCACCCGCTCCTTTTTCCGGAAAGCCCTTCAGATATTTAATGATCACTCTCGTTTCTCCCTTTAATCTTCTCTTTCCCACCAACTCAGCTCTTGGAACCGTTCTTTGCAAGGTATCGTTCAGGGCCTGCTCTCCTCCAGACACACTCTCTCAATATGTGGTGTGCTTTTAAAAGTACGGTGTCCAGGACGGAACACAATAACCGAGGAGTAACCCTGGTCAGTGCAAATGCAGAGGAAAATATTTACTCCTTAGGATCTGAACATCACATCTCTATTAATACAGCCTAAAAATGCAGGGGCTCTTCAGCAGCTGTGGTGCATCATTGCTCAGCAGATGACAATACAGGTTTAATTGCAAAGATGTGCGTCTGCTGAACAGGCTTCCATTTTTAACTCACATCCTAGCCGCAAAACTGTTTTCCTGTGTATCCACTCTTAAATAATGGATCAGATTAATCTCTTTTCAGATGCTTCTCTGGGGGAAAAAAAAGTGGCTTCAGAAGCTGTGTTGGAATAAATTTTAAAAAACAGGAGGCGGGGGGGGGAAGAAGGATGGCCAGCTCTGCCCCCTCCCCATCAGCTGAATCTAAATCCCATCCCAAACCACTATAAATCTAGTTGTGAAAGTAGAAATCACCAACATGATTTAAATATCGCAGATTTTCACTACAGGAGGCAGGAGCTAATTAGGTGGGAGAGACAAGTCATTTGGAAGCAGAAATGTAGGAAATGGAAATTGATGATTGGTTGTTCCAGAAAAGTGATCACTATATAAATCAGTTAGTGGGGGGGGGGAGATGGGATTCGGCTGCCACTAAGAGATAAGATTAATCATCACAAGAGGCCCAACTGTGCTGAAGGCTCTTGAGGCTGACCCGTCTTCGCCCTGCTAAAGTGCGAAATAATTTTTCACGAGTCCTGGCAAAAGGATATACTGCAATCTCCAGATAATTTGGGGGGGGGGGAGATGGGATTCGGCTGCCACTAAGAGATAAGATTAATCATCACAAGAGGCCCAACTGTGCTGAAGGCTCTTGAGGCTGACCCGTCTTCGCCCTGCTAAAGTGCGAAATAATTTTTCACGAGTCCTGGCAAAAGGATATACTGCAATCTCCAGATAATTTTTTTATATTTACAGCTAAATGCTTCTGGGAAACTTATCTGAAGGCCAATGGACAGCAGCCACTCAGCATCTGGGGCTTAGAGATGGACGTTGTTTGAACACGGAGGTTCTGTTTAGCCATCCTGGCTATGAGCGATTCACTAAAGCCTCCCTGGATGACCTTTCTTGGCTCAACAGATCCACGAGTGTCGGATTGATTCTGTACAACTTCTGCTCATTCCCTACAAAGTTTGTGCAGGATAACTGCATCATTTTAATTAGAGGGATACGTATCTGTACCTCTGTGTGCAGATCTGTGGCAGGGCCTGTAATAATACTTTTGCCGGGGAATACAATGCCCAAAATTTTCCGGGAATTCCCCAGGCAGAAATCTGGGAGGTATAGTCAAAAAAGCAGAGGTCTACAGAGTAACTATATTTACTTCCTTCAGTGCCTTTTTTGGGGGCCTGTTTCTATTTTTTAAAAAAACAAGGCAGCTGCACTAGTGCTATCTGGGAGTTGCAGGTTTTCCTGTGAGTCGCAGTCTTGCTGCCCATTAGGCCCTCTAGTGGGCACCTCCCAAAAGAACTAGCACTCCACGGAAGAAACTACAACTCCCAGGTCGTGCCAGGTCAGCTTCCTTGCTTTTTAAAAGTTGGAACAGCCCAAAGAAGGCACCAATGGAGATAAATACAGCTGGCCTTTCAGCTTCTGTTTCTGAACTGCACCTCCCAGAACTGTGCCTGGGAAATTTCCAGAAAATTCTGGGAGTTGCAGTCCAAAAATTAAAAAAAAAAAAAAGAGCACCACACTATCCCAAAATCCTGCACCCAGCATGGCTAAGGAACCTGAAGGCTAGGATATTTGGGGAGTTATTTTCTGAAAGTAACATGACCACCCTGTGCTCTGTAATGTGGAGGCAGAAAGATGTCATTTCCAAGGTCTTTCAAGGCAGCATCCGTTGCAAATTTCCAGGGCCCTAAAAGCCTTCAGCACAATCCCAGACCTTCATGCACACATTAAGGGCAAGTTAAGTTCCCTGCCACTGTGATTGTTTGGGAGGAGCTGGATGGACGTAGCAGCGTGGCCCACACACTTACCGCCACAGAAATGCGGACGCGCTTCGACTTGCGCTTTTCTGACGCGCCCGGATTCTCCTTTTTTTTTTAAGGAGAAAAAAATAGGGAAAAGAGAGAGGAATTATGGGAGGGGGATGGCTATGAAAGGAACACATTTGGCCACGTAAGAGAGAGAGAGAGAGAGCTGGACGGGGTGGCCCAGGGGAAATTGAACCACCGGTGCCCAGAAACCTACCCAAAAAGGTGCGCTGGGAAGACAGGGGGCCTTACCTCAGAAGGCTCCGCCGTAGTGGTGTTAGCACAGAAAAGGCTCCTCAAGGCAATCCCCGGGGTTTCCATATTTCCAGCTATTCACGGACAAAGAGAGGGGAAAAGCGGGTGAGAAATAGCTTGTTCAGCACCCATTCAGGCAAGAAGGGGTACCATTCTTATCTCCTGAGCATCTCAGAGGGCTGTACCCCACCCTCTGAACCTCCCTCAGCACCCCATAAGTCCCCCAGATTTTGAGGGAATGTTTGGCTCCCCCAGTAGCAAATGGTGAACCCCCCCACACGATCCTCAAGGTGGAAAGGTATGTCATTTTGTGTGATAAGAGTGTATGGCACCCTTGAGAATCTTTTTTTTGGCGGGGGAACTCACTACCGTTTGGGGGGCAATTTATTTTGCAGGGTTATCAGGTAAGAGGGGGTCTGGCAGGGGAAGGAGGAATGTGGCCAATGGGCTGGCTTTCACCGCTCCCTGTTTTAAGAGGGTCTGCGAGGGCTTAAAAGGGAGGTTGAGGACTCACAGGAAGGACTCTCGGATAAAGTGCTGGGGGCTCGTTTTAAGGCCGGCTTCAAAGGTTTGCGGGAATCATTTCGTGGCGGGGCGAACGAGGACTCCTCTGTGCTGATCTGGGTCGAGAGGACGAGAGAAAGAGGGAAACGGTGACAAAGGGCCCTGACATCATCATAATACAGCTTCTGTATCTTCCATCCCTCTCTTCCTTCCAACGATCACAGATCTTGAGTCGTTTGCTGCTTTGCCAACACGTAAAACCGCCCTTTCTCCCTTCCTTTTCGTCCCGGCCCCGGCTTTCCTCACTTGAAAGCGCACGCCCGTGTCCGGTGTCTGGTGAGGCTCCTCGCCTTCCGGAATCTTCTCGGTGCTTCGCCGTTCAGACTGGGCTTTCTCCCTCAGGTGCTGCAGGCGCCGTGCGTAGCTCAGCTGCTCGTTCAGAAGGGCCACGATCTGCGTGCGCTCGATGGAGCCCAGCAAGATCATGGACTCTGCAGGGTCAAAAGGGAGAAAAGCCAAATTTATATTCCAGATCGATGGGGAGATTCTTGGACACAGTGCAGACCTTTACGGCAACAGCAATGTTTGGGATTTTAAAACAAATTCTGGTTGGAACAAAAATGGAAGGCATCCAAAGAGAAACCAAGAGCGTCTTTGGATACTACAGTGTTACCAGCACTATTGGTAAGTGAGGTTTAGGGATAACACAACTTGGAAAAGTCCCCCATAACTAGGGAAAGTTACTTTTGGGAACAGCTCCTAGAATCCTCTGCACAACACAGCCAGCGGCCGTACGGACTGGGGATAAATGTTTAGATGCTGTAGTCCAAAAAGTAACCTTCCAAAGATTTTTACAGATCTAGCAAATATGAGGAATAAGGGGTTTTTTTGTATTTTGGACTACAAATCCCATAATTCCCCATTCTGGGAATCTGTATCACTTAAAGACCATCTGTATCACTTTGCCTCGCCTTTACGGCAAGGCAAAGCGTGCTGCTTCTATGCCTACCCACGGTGCTTACTCTCTGAGCGGTTTACAATTTAAATTATGGAGGCTACACATTGCACACCTACCCTGCTAGGTTACTCAATTTACCGACCTTGGAAGGATGGAAAGCTGAGTGAACCTCAAGCCAGTGACCTGGAATTGAACCCTTGTCTTTGGAAGGATGGAAAGCTGAGTGAACCTCAGGTTGGTGACCTGGAATTGAACCCTGGTCTTGAGCAGGGTTTTGGCTGCAAGACTGCAGTTTAACCGCCGCACCACAAGGGCCACAGTTCGACACCACTGCTCTAAGGTAAAGGTTCCCCTTGAATTTTTAGTCCAGTCGTGTCTGACTCTAGGGGGGCGGTGCTCATCCCATTTTCAAGCCCTAGAGCCAGCACTTGTCCGAAGACAGTTCACGTGGCCAGCGTGACTAGGGAATGCCGTTTTACCTTCCCACGAAGATGGTACCTATTTATCGACTTGCATTTTTACATGCTTTCGAACTGCTAGGTTGGCAAGGAGCTGGGACAAAGCGACAGGAGCTCCCTCCGCCGTGTGGATTTGTTCTTACGACTGCTGGTCTTCTGACCCTGCAGCACAGAGGCTTCCGCAGTTTAGCCCGCAGCGCCACCACTTCCCATACAAGCCTAGCCCGCAGCGCCACCACGTCCCATACAAGCGTCTTTACAGGCACCAAAATGCAGCTCACCTGGAAGAAAAGGCCTAGTCCAGAAGGCTTTGAGGTTTAGCTAGGCCTAGGTCCTTTACAGGCACCAAAATGCAGCTCACCTGGGAGAAAAGGCCTAGTCCGGAAGGCTTTGAGGTTTAGCTAGGCCTAGTTCTACCTAGTTTCCTGCCCACAAAGAAAGCTCCCAGCTCATATCAGGAAAGGATAGGAAGCTTAGGTGGAGCTAGGCCTAACTCACCCTCAAAGCCTTCCAATGTAGGCCTTTTCTCCCAGGTGAGAAAAATTGTTTGCTGATTGCATTTTGCACTACAATTTTCTCTGCAGGATATATTTCTGCCTCTGCAGCTGAGTATGCCTACAAGCAAGGCCACGAAAAGGAAAAACCTATATATATACACAAGCTTGTTTCTCCTTCAGGTGTAAGACTGAAGAGGCAGCTAAGTGTGCCTAAGCTTTCTGGAGATCCCTTGCTTTTTCTGTCTCAATCTTTTTTTGTCTCATATTTTTTTAAAAAAATCAATATATAAATCTTGAGTTAAACGCAGAAACTGTTATGCTCCTGGCTGTGCTTTGGACCAAAATACCCATTTTGGGTCTGCTTCCGCCCGACACAACGTTGTCCTGATCGTGCTATAATTTGGGCCAAATGATGTCAACAGCCATTTTGTTGATTCACCCAAATCGATAAGGCGTGGGGGGAAATAGACGATGACATCAGCTGGTTTGGAAGAGGTGGCGGGACAAGTTGGACACTCTAAATCTGTCGCTACGAAGCAAGCTTCCAATTAAATAATCCATAAAACACTCCGTTGGAAATGTACTTATTATGAGCCTGTGCTATTTCAGCACGGGAGAAAGAGGCAAAGGACTTGGAGTAGGCTAAGAAAATGGAAGTATTAACCAGACTTTTTGTGCTTCCAAAACAAGGGGTTGTCTATTTTATTCCCCCCGCCCCCGTGTCTCCCCCACCAACAACTGCTAGATAGCTCAATGGTTTAGGCATCTGACTGAGGAGCCAGAGATTGGGAGTTTGATTCCCCACTGTGACCTCTCGAAAGGGATTGGACGCCATGATTGTTAGGGTCCCTTCCAGCTCTGCAGCTCTAGGTGATGATGATGATGATGACTTTAGTAGGAACCAACTATCAGCATCATTTCCCTCTCTGTGCGCTATTTTGAGCCTCGTGGCACAGTAGTTAAACTGCAGTACTGCAGGCAAAACTCTACTCATGACCTGGGTTTAATCTCAAGACAGCCAGCTTGAGGTTCATTCAGCCAGCCATCCTTCTGAAGTCAGTAAAGGGAGTACCAGTTTGATGTGCGCAGGGGCAACGTGTAGCCTGCACAGTTAAATTACATTGTAAACAACCCAGAGAGTGCTTGAAGTGCTATGGGGCAGTATGTAAGCAGCACACTTTGCTTGATTTTTGGACTCCATCTGGCAGCAAAGAGGATTCCATCTGTGAGTTACAGTGGTGCCTCGCTTGACGAGGATAAGCCATTCCAGCGAAATCGCTGTAGAGCGAAATCCTCGTCAAGCGAAATAAAAAAGCCCATTGAAATGCATTGAAAACCGCTCAATGCGTTCCAATGGGCTAAATACCTCAGCGTCCAGTGACGATCCTCCATAGGGCGGCCATTTTCCGATGTCTGTGCAGCGAAAAATCCGTTCTAAAGCACAGCGGGCAGCCATTTTGAAACCTGACAATCAGCTGTTTTGATCGTCGTAATGCGAAGAATTAGTTCCCAAAGCAGGGAACCGATTGTCGGGAAGCAAATTTTGCCCATTAAAACATTGTTTTGTGATTGCAAAAAACTCATCGTCAAGCGGATTTGTCATTTAATGAGGTAATCATTAAGCAAGGCACCACTGTATACACTTCAAGTTCGAACTAATCATTAAGCAAGGCACCACTGTATAGTGAAATTGCCTCTCCCCCACTCTTCCTGCATGGCTTGAATTATGGATTTGAGTGAGCATTTGAGAAAACTACTTTTCTGAACCACAACTCTTGAGAAACCCCAGATCTATTGAGGGGACTTTAGAAAAGTAATTCCCACATGCCCAGACTCAGCATGCGCATGCTGAGATATGTCGGGCAGCAGCTCCCCAGGGTTGGCAAATGAAACCACCGCAGACTGTAAGCAGCGGTGTGGGGTATGTGACCATAATGAAATGGTCCTCCCAAATCAAAATCCTGCATGTAGAAAATAGAATATAAGAGACAAAGCAGGCTCGGAGTCTTCCTCCGTGGTGTCCCCCCCTCCCTGTCTTAAAAAACAAAACTATAGATACTTGTTGTATCAATGGAAGGAGGAATATTCAACCCTACAAGCCTCTGTCCATAGGCCACGTGGTAGAGTCCCAGCAGAAATTTGGATGTAAGTCAGATCCACAGAGGTGGCTTGGAGGCATCCACTCCACATTGTTTATTCTTGAGAATTGACTTTGCAAAAAAGGAACTGAAAGGTAACTGGTTTTCCCTCCTCCACCCAACCCAGTTCTTCTTTATTTTTAAAGCCCTCTTTCCTACCGGCTGATTCCACCAAAGCCAGACTTTTCATCTTCGTACTGTGGAGCACATCTTGAAGATCGTGGTACTTGCAATTCAGGGTGATGTAGCGCACATCACGCACCATGATGTCTTCGACCCGTATGTTGTACTTCCTGCAAAAGACATACACACAAAAGCCTATTAGTGTTACCCATTTAAAACATGCTCGTCTGTCATTCTCTTTCTCCAGGGAAATCGTAGCAGCCAGGGACTTAAGAGGAATTTTTCAACACATCTGACAGGCTCCCCATGACGCTTTTGAACCAAGCTTCGAGGAATAGAAAAAAAAAGAAGCTAAATACAAGGTTTGTGGCTAAATCCTTGCAAAAGATCCCTTGTTTTTCGGAACAGGCCAGACAAGCCAGCTTGAGAAGCTTTTGAGTTATCCACGCCTATTGCCTCAGTATCAGCCTTCCCCCAAAACCTGGTAATTTCCATGTGCTTTGGACTAACAGCCACGATCCAAGAGAAAATGGGTCAACCATCTGTCAGATCTGCTTTGATTTGGATTTCTGCATTAAGAAGGGGGTTGGATTCGATGGCTCCTTCCAACTCCATGATTCTCTGATTCTAGACCAACTACGGAGCATTGCCCGTTCATAAAAATACAGTGGTGCCCCGCAAGACGATGGTAATCCATTCCATTGAAATCGCTGTCTTGTGAAAACATTAGTCTTGCGAAAAGCGTTTCCCCACTGGAATGCATTGAAATCCATTTAATGCATTCTAATGGGGAAAAATCATCGTCGTTTTGCGAAGATTGCCCATACGGAAGCCATTTTGCGAAGCACCGATCAGCTGTTAAAATAGCTGTCTTGCGACGCATTGATCCCAAAAACACCCATTTTATGAAGCCGCCGATCAGCTGTTAAAATTGTTGTCTTGCGAAGCATCGGTCCTGAAAAAAACAACCTGTCTTGCGAAGCACAGAAACATCATCCAGCGAAAATCGCTCATAGGAAACACTGTTTTGTGAAGCGCAAAACTTGCTCATAGGAAACACTGTTTTGTGAAGCGTAAAACTTATCGTCATGCAGATTCGTCGTTTTGTGAGGTCATCGTCTAGCGGGGCACCGCTGTAATTTAAAAATTAGCTCTTGGTAGCCAAACAACATGACACAAGGAAGAGGCACCACACCCATCCCTTACACACACGTAAACTTACTCCTGATGTCCCCAGCCCAGCTCGGGCAAATACGGCAGCTTCTTGATCCGGATGATGCTGTCGTAGAGGGAGGGCTGCAGGCTCTGGGCTACCGCGTTGGCCAGGATCACCGCGATCATGACTGGCAGGATGTGGGAGATCTGTCCAGTCAGCTCAAAAACAATGACCGCGGTGGAGACCGTGTGAGTGACGGCACCGGAGAGGGCGGCCGCGCCTGATGGTGGGAAGCACAGGAGAAGGCATGGAAGCAAAGGCATCAGAAGAACAACTAAATGACATTTGTATCCCGTCTTTCTTCCCATAATTATTCTGTCTTTCAAGATGGTTCGCATGGCTCCCCTCCGGCCCACTTTACGCCGACAAGAACCCTTTGAGGTAGGCTGGGATGAGAAAGACTTCACTGGCCTCAGACCAGCTAGCAAGTGCCGAGGCTCAGTGGCAACCTGGATCTTCAGTCCAGGTCTCTTTAGCCAGCCCACCCCATTGGCTTGCTACTCTTGAGGAGCTGGGCCTTCAAAATAACACCAGGCTGTGGGAACACGGGACGGCTTAAAACCTAGTGGGAGAAAGGGCAATCCCAGACTTGAAAGTGTTAGAATCATCTTAAAGCGGCAGAGATGGAAAGGGACCCCTCTGGATCGTTGAGTCCAGTACCTGTCAAGGAGGCCCGGGAGGGGAGGATTCGAACTCACAGCCTCTGCATCCAGTTCTCTGTTCCTCGAGTGGCCAAGGAGGTACTCCTGGGACCTCCAAAGGCAGAACGTGTGAACCGCAGCACCTTCCTGCCCTAGGGCTTACCCCACTACGGGTACTGAGAGCAGAACGTGGCTGCTGGCTCTTGCTGCCTAGGGATTCTTGCCTGCTGGGCTGGGGATTATGGAAGTTGTAGTCACTCCAAAAAGTAACAATCGCAAGCTCTGATGGAAAGGCACGGAGCCTCCTTTCCTGGATACAATCTAGCGCCCTCTCCTTTAAGGATCTGTCAAATGCCTTTCAAAAACCATGCAAGATGATGGCCAACCTCATCACTTGTGTGGGCAGGATATTCTATAGTTTAACTGTGTGCTACAGGAAGATCTTTTCTTTCTTTCTTTTTTCTACCCCAAATCTCCCACCATCCTGCCAAATGCTTCTCAGAGAAGGCAGCCATATTCTCCAGCCTGGTGCTGTCCAGTGACAACTGACTACAAACTCCCACCATCATGGAGGGGGGCAGGGTGCCAAACCACCGAACACCTGTTAGGCCAGTAAACGAATGCCCATCTTCATTTCCCTGATGTTCTTGGACTGCAACTCCCAGAAGCCTTCACCCCTAGCTCTGCTGGCCAGGATTTCTGGGAGTTGCAGTCCAAGAACATCCGGGGGCCAAAGGTTGGGAACGGCTGCTCTAGAAAAGTGTCCCAAATCGTTCTGCTACAGAATGCCATTACGTTGCAGACAAAGAATTCTCTGGAAGCCAATAAAATAAAATAAAATAAAGAAACACAAATCTGACAACTTTAATGGAGAGCATCCAGAAGACTCTGACCCAGTTCCTAAGTCACTTGCAAAAGGCTTCTTTTGTCAAAGATCACCTTGCAATCAGATCTTTGCAAATTTACAGTGGTGCCTCGCTTTACGATTGCCCTGCATTACGACGAATCCACAAAACGATGGTCTAAATGGGGGAATTTCGCTTTGTAATGATCGGTTCCCTGCTTCAGGAACCGATTTTTCGCAAAACAATGATTTTCCAACAGCTGATTGGCAGTTTCAAAATGGCCGCCGGGTAAATAAAATGGCTCCCCGCTGTGTTTAGGGACGGATTCCTCGCTATACAGGCACCGAAAATGACCGCCGTATGTTTTCAATGCATTTCAATGGGCTTTTTATTTTCACTTTACGATGTTTTCGCTTAACAGCGATTTTCCTGGAATGGATTCTTGCCGTTAAGCAAGGCACCACTGTACTTTTTGATCTCCAGCCACCCACAACGGTGCCTGGAATCCTGGAGGCTGGAGTCCATGAACAGTCACATTTCCCAAGATCTGTTAGCACTCTGGTGAGGGATTCCCCATCACGCAGTCAGGATCCCATCTACCCTGTGCTCTGGCGGTCATGGCCTCCCCTTAGGTGAACTCCCCACCCTTTTTGGAAAGGTTATGAGAGAGGCTGCCTCTTACCCACCACTGCGTATCCTCCCGGCACAATGCGGTAGCTGTTGCTGTCTGTATGGATGCCATCGGGGAACCAGGCTGCCATGCTCTCGCCCACCAGTCGCCCAAAGGCGGCACCTGCCCAGAGATCGAGAGAGACAGAAATGCCGCGTGAGAAGTGGCCGGGGTGGGGCGCTGAGTTGGAGGGACAGCAAGCACACACTCACACTGCAGAGGCACAACTCCATCGGGTGGCAAAAATGATGCTGATCCAGCAACATCTCTCACTTAAGGACAGTTTAATTTTAGCGCACAAAATCCAGGTCACTTCCAATTAAGCACTGGAATTGACCAAAAGTATTTAGATGTCCTCGCAGAGCTGCCTAAGAATGGGTTATTATTTTAAGTGCTATCTTGTTCCTTGCTGTTTAATAAGTCCTGGAGAAAGTCATGTGCCTCCTTGTGGCCACAAGTGAAGCCCAGAGGTCTTCTTCAAGGCCTTCTTCATGGTGGCACCAATTCTATGGAACCAGCCGCTGGTGGAGCTACACCAGGGCCCCTCCTGGCTAATATTTAGAGGGCAGCTTACACTGCCTTTGCAAGCAGGTCTTCCATAATGACCCTGCTTGATGTTACACCTCTGTTTTTCTCTCTTACAGAGATGAAGTGCCTTGTAAGATTGGTGTTTTGATGGTTTTATGCTTTTTATTGTTTTGACATATTTTCTGCTGTTTGTCTGTTGTTTTACTCGTTGTGAACCACCAAGAATCGTGTATTGCACTAATGGGGTGGTATATAAAGCAAATGAAATAAATAAATAAACAAACAATAAAATGATCTGAAGGTTGTTGTGGGTTTTTTGGGCTGTTTGGCCGTGTTCTGTAGGTTTGTCTTCCTAACGTTTCGCCAGTCTCTGTGGCCGGCATCTTCAGAGGACAGGAGTCAGAACTCTGTCTGTGTTCTGGTGCAGTATGTGGGATAGCTGAGTATTTGTAGCGGTGGGATCAGCTTTTTGTTCTTCTCTGAAGATTGGGCGATTATGGGGATCACTGTGTTTTTTGTTGTGGGTGTATTGTTGTGATAAGGGGGACATGATCTGTCACTGCGATTGATGGGTATCGTTACCTAGTCTATTGTGTGCAGTGATCACCAGTCCTTGTGGCTGGGTAAAGTTTGTTGACCTTTTTACAGGCTGTACTTTTCAGTGCTCCGGGCGTTGTTGAGTTTTAGACTTCTTTTTTGTTGAAGCTCTCCCGGTGTTTGTGGATTTCAATGACTTCCCTGTGTAGTGTAACATAATGATTGCTGGTGTTGTCCAGTACTTCTGTGTTTTGAAATAGGATTTCACGTCCAGCTTGTTTTGGGGGATGTTCCGCTACTGCCAATTCTTCTGGTTGTTTTAGTCTGCAGTGTCTTTCATGTTCTTTTTATTCTGGTGTGGATGTTACATTTTGTGGTCCAAATATATACCTGGCTCCAACTGCAAGGTATCCGGTATACTCCTGCAGTGGTGAGAGGGTCCCTTCTGTCCTTTTCTGATCATAACATTTGTTGTATTTTTGTGGTGGGCCTGAATACTGTTTTGTAGCTTGTGGTTTTTTCAAAGTTTCCCCATGTGGTCCATGACCCCTTTGATGTATGGCAGAAATATATTTGTGGTTGGCTGTTTTCCTTCTTCAGTTTGGTGTTGTTTTCTCGGTTTGATGGCTCTTGTGATTTCATTCTTGGAATAGTCATTTGTCTGGAGGGCCCAATTCAGATGGATGAGTTCGGTGCTGAGAAATTGAGCTTCGCAGTTCTGATTTGCACGATCTACCAGTGTTTTGACAATGCCTCTTTTTTGTCGTGGTTGGTGGTTGGAGTTTTTGTGCAGGTACCTGTCTGTGTGAGTGTGTTTTCTGTAGACCTTGTGTGCAAATAAGTCAGGTTTATGTATGACCATGACATCTAAGAAAAGGATCATGACGACAACCATCAGATCCTGGCCGTGAAGGCCTTTGAGAATACAGTAAAATTACCCTTTGTTATAAACTGCTTACAGTAGTGTTTATCACTGAGTCTACCAGCTTTGAGTACCCAGTTCACTGGGAGGGTAAATTTCCGCCTGCATAATTAATCTGTAAACCACCTACAGAGTGCTTTAAGCACTGTGGGTGGTATAGAAGCAGCATACTTTGCTTTATACGTATCATAAATCAATCTTCCGAATAGCCACGGTCTGAAAGTCACAGCTGGAGACCAAGGACACAAGAAAGAGAAGAGAGAACAATGGACAAACCGCATGTTGAGTACCATGACAGCAGCTATGGAGGCCCAATATACACAAGAACGATGGGCCAATATCTGTGGCTGGCAATCTCACTTAGCTGAACAAACGGCAATTGGGTTAGCTTATGGATGACCAGCAAGGAAGGCGGTACCCTTTCTGAGAGAACGTTTAAGGTCTACACTTGGAAACTGTGATAAAACAGGAAGGACCAGAGGTAGGGTATTGAGGACTGCGACTCACCAATGACAAAGACTGGCATGAATGCCCCACAGGGCACTGGGATTGTTGTGGCCAAGGCAGACATCCAGAACTAGGAGGGAAACAAATATTTGTTGGCATGAGAGGGAAACGGAGACCATTTTATGCCACCTTACCCGACACTCTGCTGAGGCACCAGATTACAACTCCTATCAACAATCATGGTGGCTGGGGAAAATAGGAGATGTAGTCCCCGTCAGCTGGAAGGTGCCAAGTTAGAAACAGCTGATCTCTGCTATTGAATTTTGCAACCAGGCAGAGAGGAAGAAAACTAATTTTTTTCCTAGGGGAGGAAGGGAAGGGAAGGAGAAAGGAGACGGGCCCAGAACTAGGATTCCACCTGGTGAATTCAGAGCACTGAGGACTCACATATCATCCCAACTATTTGGGTGGGGGCACTTCAGTGCTCCTTCTTCATGATTGTCTTCCCACCCCACTGCATCCCTCCCTTCCTGTGGCTATGCAGAACGTAAGTGTGCACAAGCAACAATTCTCAACGGATGGATAAAGGTCCGAGCCGATGCAAGCTTCCAGCACATCGGTCCAAAAACATTCCAGGACTCAGAAAGTCAGCATGTTTGAGAGATGGCCAAGTTCCTACTCAGAAATACCATCTGCGGCACATCCGCAGGAAGAAAGAGGTGCCAGGCGAGCGCTCCGAGCCACAACACACCTTCATAAGGATGAAAACCACCAGAGTGACAAAGACATTGGCATGTGGGTGCTTCCATGCTCCAGAGACATCGATGTATTCAAACTCTTCTGCCAAGCCCTGATTGGCCCACGTACGGTTATCGAACAGGGTCACGAGGGTCTCCTTCTGCGTCAGCTGAAGAAACACAAACTGAAGTGTGAGAAGGGAGAAGCTCCTGCCCTCATTCTAAGGTGCTTCTGCTAACCTTTAAAGACCTAAGCCAAAGGTAGGAAATTGCCAGACATCGGAGAGCCATATCTGTCCTCCCAAAGTCTTTGGAGAGCTACTCTTCTAATCCCTCATGAAAATATTTTTCTTGCAAAGATTTTTTTAACTAAAAAAAGCCCCCTTTGCACCCTCTAGTGGCCAATTTCTTAATTTTAATTTTGAGGGTGGTGTGCCTTCTCCAGTGCTCGGGGCACCCCCAAAATGGGAAAATTCCCTCCTTGGCCCTTTTGAGGAAGTGACCTTATGAGGGAGGTGGGTGGATCACTCCTCTAAATGAGGAGTGATCTACCCCAAACAAAAAGTTTGCTGGTTTCATAGCATTGAATAGCCTATCAGCATCAGAGAAGAACTTGGTGAAGTTATTATCTGGACGAAAACTTCCAAAATCGCTAACAGGTACATAGTTCAAAAAAATAATAATAATAACTCATCCATGCTCTGGATTAGACTGTGGTCTATCAGGTTTGGCTTTCTATTTCAACAGCAGCCAGTCAGCTGCTCCTTCGAAGCTTCCAGAGAAAGCATGAAAGTCAATGCACTTCTCCAGCATCTTGCAATAAGAGGTACAGAGCCACAGTACATGGAAGTGCCAGCTAGCTTTTTCACACTGGAAATGGAACATTAGGATTTCTACAACTCTCAGGGAGCCTGGGAGCGGAACAGTATGTGCCATGTGTTTTTGGGAGTAGCCCTCAAGGGCATACTCACAAATGTCGTGCTGCAAAAAAAGGTACTCCCTGGATTTGGCAGCACACCGATGCAGCAGAGTCAACTCAAGAGGTGTCTCCTGGTGACCCTCTAAAGGATGAAGCCTACAAACTTACCTGGCCAGCCATGAATTGCCCAAAGCCAGGCGGGAAGGTCAGCGTTGCTATGAGGAGAGTCACGAGCGCAGGGAAAAGCAGGCGTCTGGAAAGGCACAGACCAAAAGATGAGTCACCCTCCACCACGAATGAGACGAACAGCTTTCCTCTCCTAAATTGCAAACTCAAAGGATCCAGTTTTCATCATCACCCATTGCTTCAAGGAAAGAGCAAAGCCCGTTCCGCGATGGTTCAGCAAGTTTACACTTATGAGCGATGGCTGTGCCATATTTAGCCCTTGCTGTCATCGAGCGCAGACAACGGAATGACACACTTTGAGACAGGACCCTCCGAGGCTGATGACATTGATGCTTCTCCGTGGATCAGCTTGAATCAGCCGGGAATTAAAGGGCTGTTCTGGATGGAGCATCTGTTCTAGGTTTCATACCTGAAACGGTCTTGTTCTTATTGATATTTTTCTCCCACACACCGGGAAAAGACTTGTCTTGGTTCTGACAGTGAGATATTCTCTCTGTGTGTTTCTTCCTCAAGGCTGATCTAATTTTTATCTCATTTCAGCCCAGGGAGTGGGGAGGCCCTGAAGATTAGTGCTAGAGTGTTTCCTAGAATCAGTTTAGTTTCTGCTGTCTAGCTTTTAATGAGCTTCCAATTACTGCAAGCATTTGCAAAACAGAATAGGATAGTGCAGAAGCACAATGATAAACATCCTGCTTCTCTGTATCCCATTAGCAGCTTTCTTTTTTGTTCACTCAGTTGTTTAGTTGACATCTGAACTTGGTTCTTCTTTGTCACACGAGTGACCACCATTTTTGAACTGGCTTCAAGCAACTGAACAGGTGAGTGTAAGCATAGACATCACCAGGCGGCCAATATAGAAATCAAAATTGACTTGTATAATGGGAAGAAGCAGATGGAGAAGCTGTATTCTCTCTTCCAAAACAGGACCAGATTGTGGTATTGCAAATTGTTAATATCAAAAATTGGAGTAAAGCTGAAAACGATCACCAGAAGAATCACAGTGCCAAAATATAGTTTGAATAACACTTCTGAATCCCGATAACACTTCCTCTCTGCGGTAAAGCAGGGGCTCAGTGCTGTTATTATTTTTTAATTGACAAACTGGTTTAATGCCAAACAGGTAATGCTGGTATCTAGTAACAGTCTCCTCTGGCTGGGAGGTACTTTCTGCAATCTCACTGACAAAACCAAAGTTAACATTAGATGCACAGAACTGTCCTTCAGGATCAGACTTTTTGGGGGCCAACCTGGGGGTGGGGGTTCACGTCTTTCCTCCCTGATGCTTTCCTGCTCCGCTTTCTTGCAAGGAAAGTGCTTTACCCCTCCACTTTATTTGCAAAAAGTGGAGGAGGAAAGCAGCTTTTTGCAAAGAAAGCGGGAGGGGAAAAGTACTTTCCTCGCAAGAAAGTGGAGGGGGGGAAGCAGGAATCAAAGCGCTTTGATCCCTGCCTTCTCCCTCCACTTTCTTGCAAAGAAAGAAATTTGGGGTTAGAAAGGTGGGGGGCATCTTATACATGGTGGCATCTTAGAGAAAAATACGGTAATTCAAGGAATCAAAGCGCTTTGATCCCTGCCTTCTCCCTCCACTTTCTTGCAAAGAAAGAAATTTGAGGTTAAAAAGTGGGGGGGCATCTTATACATGGTGGCATCTTACAGAGAAAAATACGGTAATTCGCCTTGGAAACCCTATTAATAATAATAACCATTTGTCGTCAAGTCAGTTCTGGCATGGTGACTCTTTTCAGGCTTTTTGAGGCAGAGAATACTCAGAAGTGGTTTCCTATCCCCTTCTTCAGGGGTGCCCTGGGACTGTCTGTCTAGCTTGCCCAAGGCCACACCGGATGGCTCTATTTGAAGGAAGCACTGGGGTGGAACTGAACTCCAAACCGCTGGCTCTACAGCCAGAGATTTAAACCGCTGAACTATGCAGGCAGCTCAAAACCTTATTCAGGTTGCTATAAGACAGTTCTGACCTGACAGCAGATAACACGCACATAGACAATATTATCTGTGATACAGTGAACTCTTGGGAGGAACGGCTTCTGCCTCTTTGATCAGACTAGAAACTAGGATCACAGTAGGAGATGATTCCAGACAAGTTTTAAAAAAAAGAAAAGAAAAAGGAAATACTTTTTTCAGCACCACCAGCAGCTGAAACACTGCCGTTACCTTCTGTATATATCACCCGAAACTGTTTTACGGCTGCCAATGAGAGTTTTATTGCTTTTGCACATTTTACAATCAAATGCTTAGTTGCACTTTTATGAACCCGAGTGAATTATGCTTTCTGCGGATTGTTGGCAGCCACCCTAAGGAGTTGCTCAACACAAATGTAAGGACAAATGTACAGACGGCACAACGACACACATATAGGGATGGGTTCTAGATGAAGCTCTGTTCTCTGCAATCACATTGCCCCATTCATAGAGGTTTGCGCGAGCTGTAGAAGATAGTGTCTGTAGCCACAAAGCAAGCATAAATCTCCTGATGCCCTCCTGAGACACTTTGGCCTACTTTGGTGTCGGTCTCTGGCTGTGTAGCCCTAGGTTGGGAGTTCGATTCCCCACTGTGCCTCCTTGACAAGGGCTGGACTGGATGATCTACAGGATCCCTTCCCAGTTCTAAGATCATAATTCACAGGCATTATCCATGCTACTTTCCATTTCAGGCAGACTTTTAAGCAATAAGTGAGGGTCTGTAATGGTATATTTTTTAAACGTAGAGATTCTGGCATGTTTTTATTCTTGGTTTTAATATGGACTGAACTGTTTTCAGTAAAGTTTTTTAAATGGAATTATTAATTTGTGTGCATTGGCTCTTGTTTCGAGCCACCTTGGGTCCCCCTTATAGGGAATAAGATGGCCTATAAACGTTATACAGAAAGTGCAATAGCTCTTACTAAAGCAGAATGCGGGAAAATGAATTTGAAAGACTACAACTTCCAGCATGCTGCCTCGAGGATGTCGGAAGACGTAATCTCAAAAGACAACTTTTCCAAGCTCTGTACATCAAGGGCAAGGTTGTTGATACTGTTTGCAATCGAGACAGAGAACCTTCCTAGATGCAACACCCAAGATCTTTTCAACGGAAGAGTTTCCGCATGGAAAAGACATATTCTGTTATTGAATTCAATCCCACCAACCCGTGACCTGATACAGTGGTGCCTCGCTAGACAGTTACCCCACATGACAGTTTTTTCGCTAGACACTGACTTTTTGCGATCGCTATAGCGATTGGCAAAACAGTGATTCCTATGGGGGAATTTCGCTGGACAATGCTTGGTCCCTGCTTCGCAAACCAATTTTCGCTAGACAACAATTTTGGCAGCTCCCTCTGCGCTCGCAAAACGGGTGTTTTTGGGACCTAAGCTTCACAAGACAGTGATTTAAACAGCTGATCGGCAGTTCGCAAAGCGGCTTTCCTATGGCCGATCGCTAGACAACGACGATTCTTCCCCATTGGAACACATTAAACAGGTTTCAAGGCATTCCAATGGGGGAATGCTTTTCGATAGACAATGATTTCGCTAAACAGTAATTTCAGTGGAACGGATTATCATCGATTAGCAAGGCACCACTGTACAAGAGGACGCTGGGTGAAAAAAGCCACAAGGGAACCGCTGCAGGAAGGAGACTCTACAGGGATCGGCAGCCACAACTCACAACAGAGAGGCACAAACCATACGGACCAGGAGAACTGGAGGTACAGGGACAGGGGGAATACGAGTCCATGAAAAAAAAAACCAGACTTGTGGAAGGCCTTGGAGGTTTGAAAAAGTTCCTTTTCTTACTGGCGACTCACAGAGTCCCCCCCCTCCCCTGCCAGAATCCAGAATTCTCGGCTGAGAAATTCTGGAAAGCGTGGACAGGACTAAACAAACCCCTGGTTTCCCACTGTGTAAGGCAACCTCTTATGTTCCCACACTGGTGAGTTGGGTCACCCAGGAATCCCTTGAAGCCCAGAATCCAAAACAGAGACTGCTGGAGACCCTTCCTTCAACGTCAGGTTCTCCCAAGAAGAGAAAACTCTTTGCAGGAGGGTCTGGATAGCCAAAATGCACAAAGCAGGCGCCGACGGAAAGCTGACGGAGTGCTAAGATGGGATTCAAACCAGACTCCTGTCCCTTTAAGGGTCTCTGTTGATAAGGAAGAGGGTAGAGGCCGGGAGAACAGGATCATTCCCAATGGGATAAAAATACTAGATTGAGCTCAAGCAATATTAGAGCCCTGTTGGATCAGATTTTAGACTCATCTATTTACAGTCCATGCAACGGGCGAGCGGTTGCTTACGGGAAGCTTGCCGCAGGCACACAGTTGCCCTCTCTGTGCCACGGTATCTCCCAAGCCCTTTCAAAACACACCAGTAGGCTACTATCTTGCTTCTCAAAGTTGTAACTGGTATGCGCAGGCCCTCAGCCTCTGAAACTGGACCTGGTGCATTGCTGGGATTAGCAGTCCTTGGTGGCTTTATCCTCTGTGAATTTATCTAATCTCCCTTCAAAGGTAGAGGCTGGGACAGCCATCACTACATCTTGTGGCAGTGAATTCCACAGCTTAACGATGCACTATGTGGAGAATGATTGAATAACTAGACCAATTTTAGGGAACTATGGCGTGCCATCACAAGGGGCCTGCCCTTCAGTTTGTTGGGTTTTCTGGCCTCCAACTCCCAATAATTCCCCAGGTAGAATTCCGGGCTGTCCAGCTCCCAGATGCACGCTTACATTTCGCTCGCCTGTGACAGGGCCTACCTTCCTGGGCCTAGTCAAGCCTACTATAGTTAGCAGCCAGTGTTTCCTGCTAGGCCTAGTTCTCCATGGAGGCTGCCATCTTGCTGTCCATTAGGCTCTTCTATGGGGCTTTTCCAAAGAACGACACCCCTAACCACCCTCCTGCCACCCTCCCATCTGTAATCAGAAGATAAGAGCATGGTTGCCCACGTGTCTGGTCTTGAGTCCAATCTTACTTTTTCATCAGGAAGCGGTTGATAGCTTTTTGCTTGCGCATAAACTGCACAATCTTGCGGTTGAAATAGACAAACAGTGCCCCGCCAAAGCCGCTGGCGATCCTAAGTGGGGAGAAGAAGACATTAAGGGGAGGTGGGTGTGAGAAGCAGAGAGGGGCTCTTGAACAGAGGGGCAGGGAAGGTCCAGCGTGGGACCCGGAAAGGCTCACCCAATGACAGCAAAGGCTGGCAACTCTTGCAGGTCGAAGGGAAAATCCAACCGGAAGCGAGTTTTGAAAAGGGCTGTGATGGTTTCTGAAGGGAAGAAACGAACACCAAATTCTTAGGCACCTCAAGGGCTGCCTTGTTTCAGGAAAGCTCTAGTAGCATGTGTGAATCTGTACCTATTTAACATGATCTACAATTGCCATTCTCTGCTTCCACAAGTTTGAATCCGGTTGTAACTCCGAACTAAAGCAGACACTCAGTGAACCAACTACTGAACGTACAGTCAATGCATAAATCTCACGGATTCAATGGGTTTACTCCGGTTGAGATTAGGAACCGGTTTTTAGCCCTCGGTCCCCAGGACAGGGCCCTGCAGATAACCCTCCAAGTTAATTCTTATAGTTCCGGCTGTGGATTTTTCCTCCTAAACTGTCTCTATTGATGTTTTCCGTGGAGGAGGGGGGATAGTCTATGCACTTCTAACCTAAGGAACAAAGTAATGTCTGAAATCTTGCTGCTTCAAATAGCAAGTCACAACTAGAGGTAGGTCACTTGGATCAGTGGAACGTCCAGAGAAGCTGACTCACCAAATCCCTCCTGATTCAGTGGGCCTACTCTAGTCTGACTTACTAAGCAAAGCAACAGGATTTCAGCCACACATGTTTTACAAGTCTGTTATTCCAAATTTTACATGTGACACATTGTTCTAAAATTCGGTGTGTCTGAGCTTAGGATATTTTTTAAAAAAAGGCAAACCAGTCCTTCATTTTTAAGGCAACAGAGGAAAGCCTAAAAAGATGATATTTCAGAAACTTGGGTATTGCCTCCAAGGTGATCACTTCCTCCATTTTTCTTTACAAAATAATACTAATTACAGAGGGCAAGATGCTGTGGCTAGTCCAAGCTAGAGTAACCAGATTAATAATAACCCCTGAACCATTAAGATGTAGAATTGCCACTCAGTGATGGATTCAGTAGGTCTACTCAAGCTGGGACTAGCAATCAGATTTAGGGCAAAATCTTTGAAAGCTTGCACGCAGCAAATGAGGAAGGATTACTCTAAATGCCGGCAGGTTCTTCCGGGGAGATCTAGGTTTGATTTTTTACAATCGTCAACATAGTTTGGAATTTAAGGCAGGGCCTTCTCTGTGGGAGCCCCAGTGCTACAGAACAACCTTTCCAAAGAAGCCCATGGAAGTCCGACATTACAAATTCTCAAACCAGACATCAAATCACTTCTTTTTAAGAGCAGGAATCAAGTATCTTGATCTTAGAAAAGAAGCAGAAAGGCAATGCATAAAGCATTAGAAAAAAAGAAAAACAGGGCAAATTCCGTCTTTCTGTTAGTTCAAGAGACACGCAACCCTCTTTTAATTCCTTCTAAAGTCTAGATTCACAGATCCTCAACCCTACTGATCCCTCCTCAACCAGGTGTCACCCCCCCTCCACCTCTAAGCTCTCTTATTCAGACAAAAGTGCTGGGGAGAGAGAGGTCTCCCTAACCAGGGAGGGAAGCAGGGATTCCTACCTTCATCCTTGTTCCAGACGGCAAGCACTCGGAAGATGAATGCGCTGAAAGTGGCTGCAAAAAAGCCGCGCCAATAGTTCCGGACAGCGAAGAAGGTTGACGTGACTTCTATGCTGAAGAGGACGCCTGGTGGGTACAGAGAAGAGGGTGAAGCCTTGGGGAACCACCGGAGAGTCCAAAACCTTAATGTTTCGTTAGCCTGGGAGAAGGGAGGCAGGAGTCCCCAAGATGTTTCAGGATCACATCCTTGGCCTTTGGCCATGCTGGCTGGAGCCAATGAAGGCTGGGCACCATTAACTTCTGGAGGGGTGCAGCTTCCCCACCCCTGATCTATGTAAACGACAACCTGTCAGCTGCCCCTCCATGGAGGGTGGGTTTTCTTAATCCCAAACCTTAGCAGCCTGTGATGCTGGTACTATACAGAAAAACACAATTGTCCATTCTGAAATGAAGGCAAGAGTTGTTTCGATGGTTATAGGATGGGGATTGGATTAAATGACCTCCTGGGTTCCCTTCAAACTTGATCACTCTTGATTCTAAGGCGGGGATCTATCAAAGCTGTTAAATAAGGACGGCCTCTGAAAGGTATCAAAGTGGCCCCAGCAAGCCCCTCTTTTATTAGTCAAAACTGTAGGCAGAAAGTCCCAGCAGCTGACCTGAACAGTTCAGCAGTTAAGGAAACATCTGCATGATGTTTATTTCACCCCATCTTACTCCTGCTGGCTGGATAGCTCAGCGGTTTAGGCATCCGGTTGTGGAGCCAGAGTCTGAGAGTTTGTTTCCCCTGTTGTGCCTCCAGGCAGAAGAGCCAGCCTGTGTAGCCTTGGGCAAGCTGCACAGCCCCAGGGCACCCCGGAATAATTTTTATTTATTTATTTGATTTATACCCCGCCCATCTGGCTTGTAAGACCACTCTAGAAGGGAATGGGAAACCACTTCCGAGTACTGTATTCTATGTCTAGAAAACCCTGAAAAGGTATTGGCTCACTGAGGACATTTGCTCAGCTGGAATATTTTTATGTGCTGAAGTCTTTTCCAATGTGTGGTAATCTGTGACTTCTGAAAGTCCTTTCATGGGTCAATCCATCTCACATTTGGTTTTCCTCTTTTCCCCACTGCTGTTATTTTCCTGCTTTCTTTTTCCAGCAGGTCTTGTCTTCTAATGGTACATTCACCGTTTGGTCATGATCAATGGGGTGGGTGGGTTTCAGAAGCATGGGACAGTTCATTCAGTCAATCAGTTTACCCTAATTCACAAAACTCAGAAGGGGGCGTAACTCGCAAAACTCAGAAGGGGGGGGGGGAAGTAAAACTAGTAAGATCCACCTCGCGCTTGCTTCCGGATTCCAAAGAAAGCTGTCTAAAACCCATCCACTTCATATTACAATAAGGTTTGATGCTGTTGCTGTTGTTTAGTCGTTAAGTCGTGTCCGACTTTACGTGCTCCCATGGACCAGTGCACGCCACGCCCTCCTGTCTTCTTCTTTTAATGTTATTATTATTATTTGGATAACTTGGGTTGGGGTATGGGATACAGAAGATAAAAGGGAAGGGAAGAGGAGTTGGGCTAGGGCCCTCCTGTCTTCCACATTTTCTGCTCCTTCCTGTTATTCCTCTCCCCCACCCTGGCAAATTTCAGGCCTCCATTAAGACCCTTGTCTAGTA